ATCAGATCTCTCAGGCCCCAGGAGCACTTGCCCAACTTTTCCTTCCTAGAGACCTACCAAGGAATCCCATGGAACCTCTCTGTAGGTCGGGAAAGTTGGGGTTTGCCACTTGTGGAGGCCTGCCCTGAGATCTCCAAGGGCATGTCTGTAAGTGGGGAAAGCCTGCTTGGGACCCAACATTGAGGCATGAGACCTGGAGAATCCCTGGTACCCCTACTCTGAGACCCATGCTGGGTCCCACAGTGACCCATGCTTCACACAGAGGCACAGGGTGGCACAGGTCCTGGCAAAGAGATGGGAAAATTCCTCTTTCCCACAAAGAGGTGTGGGATTTCCATCCCAGGGAATTCCTGGCACCCCATGACTCCTTTTTGGGCACTCAGTGACTAATGCCTCCACATGAAGCACAGGTTGGTGTGGGATCCAATGTAGGTCCCAGCATGGAGGCCTGGTGAGTGCAAGTTCCTTAGGTCCCATACCACCACACTTCTCCTTGCCAGCATGTACACTGACCCATGCTTCATGCAGACGGTTGGCAAAGGACAGTTTGGGTCCTGGCAACTTGTGCTGACCCATGCCTCTTCTGGGTCCGGTGAGGATCCCAACAAGGAGATACAGGGAAACAAGGGACACAAGGAGTCTCTGGGCAAAGAGGACATATCACCCATTGTCCTTTGTCCATTGTCCCAGTATAGAACAACAAGTGATGTGTTTCACCAAAAAAGCAAATTTGCTATGGCACCCCACCCAGCTGATCTGCTTCCCTGTTTTTACCCTCGATATTCTCAGAACATGCCTAATGAAGTGGGCCTCTCAGGAAAAAAAAAAAGTGGAGGAATTTCTAGTGTGGGGATCCTGATGGGATTTAAAAGTGAGATAAGTACTGAGCTTCTCAGAAATGTCAAAACTGAAAGGTTTCGAGTCCCAGAACTTTAGGAGCTCATGGAATTTAAAAGTTGAAAACTTAGATATCTATGGGTTTCAGAGAACCCTAGTGTGTCTGCACATTGATACAGCATGCTCTCTGGCTTGTGGGGCTCCCCATGGGTCCAGAAATTTGGCAGCAGAAGAGTATCAATTGTTGTCACTGCTGTCCTGCTGCCAAATTTTCAGATCCCTGGGGACCCCTGTGGGGTTGAATGGCTTGGCTCTGCAGGCCAGATCTGGCTTGTGGGCCAGAGGTTGAACACCCCTTCCATAGACTCCAGCTGCCTGACTTTTCATATCATATTACCAATTGTGGCTGGGATAGAGATGAGCAAGGACTCAAGAAATACTTGCTTCCTTTAAGTGTAGCTCTTTGGATATATTGCCCATATTTATTCCACAGGCTTCGCTCCTTTCCCACTACTGTATAGTGCTACAGCACCTATATTCCAGATTGGCAAATGAACAGCCCACCTGCCCTTTATGCCCTTAGCTGAGGGGAACAAGGACACTCAAGCCATGTCTGTGCAAACTTATTGTGTCAGGCAATATGGTCCCCAAAAATACCTCACTTCTCTTTGTGGGCTTCCTCCTGAACTACAAGCAGCATAGCTATGTGTGCCTGGTGCTGTAGATAGGCTAATTAGCATGTGGGTGGGCTAACTCAGCACTGACTTTCAGTTCAGGAGGCAGCTCACATCAAGTAGTACATTGTTTTGGGGCATCATTATATAATGCAATAAATTTGCACTCCAGACATGCCATCACAGGGCATACTTAATCCAGATAGTCAGGAGTAGTCAAGTATTCTCATCTTGCACACACAAGATGCATGTGCACTAACAGCTGAATAGATACGGACAGCACATCTCAAAAAACCAAGTACTATAGGGTAAGTAATGTCTTATTTTTCTATGAGCCGCTTTGGCTGATAAAAAAAAAATAAATAGGGACTACAAGCTTCAAAAGTACCCACTGCAGGCCAGAGACCTGTACATTGATCCTTGTATGCTAGCAGCTCTGGAAGAACTTGCCCATAAAGACATCCACAATTTAAATAGAATTATCTTTATTTTTACTTTTATACTGGCACTTTGTAATTGAATATGCACACAGCTTTTATATTTGTACTGTAACTGCTGCCAGTGCCATCTTGCCCTGATACCCACTCCTCTTTCAGTAGCTCACTCTGCAAAATTCTTTTGTCTTTTTCTCTGCGATTCTATACCTTCCATTTTATTTACTTTACTAGCTAACTGCCTATCAAGAATGATGCATTTCAGGGAGTGTTTACATGCCCCCCCACTTCCCCCTTTCATTCACCCTTCGGGGCCGGCCATGCCTCACCCTTTCATTCACCCTTCGGGGCCGGCCATGTAAAGACTCCCTCCACTGCTGCCACCGCCGCCTCCTCCTCCTCCAGCCTCCAGCATGAGGGCTCCCTCCCGCTGCTTGCTTCCGCCTGGCAGCAGGGCTTTCCCCTGCCTACCCTCCCCTCCCTGCTCCCATCCCTTCCTCTCACCTCCCCTTCCCCTCCCCTCCCTGTTTCCCTCCGTTCCTTACTTCCTGGCCTCAACAGCCATCACCTTGCCCCTGCTTTGCCTCCCCCCACCCCACATCCGCCCCAGTCACCTGCCCCTTCCTGCCAGCTGATGTCAGGGGGCCCCCTTCCCACTCCCCTCCACCCCATAGGCAGTGAGGCATGGGAAAGCCCTGCTGCTCAGGCAGCCAGAGCATGTTTGCTGCCGCCACAAACTTCCCCGGCAGCAGCTCAAACTTGGGCCAGACAACCCATGCAGCCAATCACCGGCCACCCTCTCAGCGGCGCATGCACAGTTGGCCAAAAGTGTTACAGACAGACAGACTTTATTTTATTAGAATGTTCTAAGAGGAATTCTTATTGTTTAAAATGGCTTTAACATATGTAATCTGTCATGAATTCCCCTAGATTCTTTTTGCTGATGGCACAGTGATCAAAAGTCCCGATTCTGGCCCTGTTCTACCACCACAGTCCAGCACAGCACCATCCACTATACCCGAGAATAACCTGCAAGTCCAGACACACTCCAAATTGGAACATCCTCCAGAGATCAGCACCAAGAAAGGTAGACTTTTCAGCTTGACGTTCCAGTTGCTGCACCAGGAATTAGGGCAGTTTTACAATATGGACAAATAAATTACAGTGAGTTATAAATAGAAAGGGGCTTACCACATGTTACCTGCTTCACACTTTGTGTTAAATGAAAGCTGAACTGGGGCAACTTAACTTTTTCTCACTGAAGAATAAGTCACTAGAATTTACATTTCACCTACTATGATGGAAGAAGAACACATGGAGAGTGACTTAAAATCGTCTGACACCTGGTGGGTCCCCACCCCTCTTTAATGTGCTGTAACCTATTTGTATAAACACTTAGGGCACTTTTACATGTGGTCCAGTGGTTGGGGGTGGGAAGGGATGCTTTAATTAGAGCAACTCCAAGAGCTGCTCTAAAGTGCCACAGTATCTCATGTGCCCCCACCACCATTTTGAAATGCAGCGATGCTGATACACACGATGCGGAGGCTTGCTGGAGCATAGTAATTACCATGCTCCAGCAGATCCAATTAGTCAAGTCTGCTCCAATGTACTGTAATTATAGCCTTCTGTCAGACTAAACAAACCAAACTTGTTCATTTCTTCTCATAAGCAGGCTCTCCAATCTCCTGATCATGCTAGCAGCTATTCTCTATACCAGTTTCAATTTGATTTAATATTTCTTGAACACTGGGTGTATCTGCATGAGACTCTTTACTGTGCAGTAGTTGAACCTACTGTACAGTAAACTGTCACTGTCTACATGTGCACACATTTACTGCACATTAAATTAGTCTACTATGTAGTAAGCTACTACGTGTAAATATAGGTAATAGCACATGTATAGATACTGACTGGGAGTAAAATTGCTCCTGGTCAGCCCCAATACTAGGGGGCCACAGGAGATGGGGAACTCCCCTGGTTCTGGTGCTACTCAGCTCTTGGCTCCCCCCAGGAGCTGGGAGCTGAGCAGCATGGGGACGGGGTACCTCTCTGCCCACCCCAGACCTGGTGCTGCCCACCTCTGCCCCAGTACTTCTGGGAGCCAAGCAGCACTGGGGACGTGTCTGCTTCCCCACCCAGCCCGGGGCTGGCCACAAACTGACCCTTCTGGGGCAGGTCCTAGCCAGCTCCAGGCTGCACAAGGATTTCCCCACCCACCCCAGAGCTGGCCATGTATAGCATTAATTGCACATGAAGACGCACCCACTGATGACAATAATGATACACAGTGGGTGCATCTACCTGAGTTGCTAAATATGCAATAGCCTAGTTCTACTGCACATTAGCTTATCATGGCAAAAGCCATACTATTACACTAACGTACAGTAAAATGTGTCTACTGTGCCTTAGTGTCACTTAAAAGGTGTGTGCTGATACTACTGTGCAATAGTGCCAGTTACTACACATTTAGTTAGTACCATTATTACAGGTACTAAACTTAATGCACAGTAACCATGGTGCATTAGTGCAAGTGTAGACATGCCCAGTATTACAGGTGAAGTCTGGGGCCTTTTACAAGGGTACTGTATATTTCTACTATCCCAATACATTCTATGATCATATTTGCCTATTTCATGGCTACATCCAATAGTCAGCTTATAGTTATCCTGTGATCAATTTACCATGTCTTCCACCTCCTCCGTTGTTTCCAAATGATGTACTCCCATCTTATAACAGAAATTCTTGTAAGATAGCATGACCTTGTACTTTGTACCATTTAATTTCATCCCATATCTGTTACTCCAGTCCTCAAAGTCATTCCATTCTTCCTGTATATTGTTTGGATCCTCCTCTGAATTAGTGATGTCTCCCAATTTGGTGACACAATCAGATTTCATCAGCACACTTCCCACTTACTAGTTTCATAGTTTCACAGTTGGTAGGGTAGGAAGGGACCTGAGCAGATCATCAAGTCCAACCCCCTGCCATGGGCAGGAAAGAATGCTGAGGTCAGATGACCCTGGCAAGGTGTCTGTCTAGCCGCCTCTTAAAGACCCTCAGGGTAGGAGCGAGCACCACTTCCCTTGGAAGTTGATTCCAGATCCTAGCCACCCTGACTGTGAAGTACTGCCTCCTGATATCTAGCCTGAATCTACTCTCCATCAACTTATGGCCATTATTCCTTGTTATTCACAGTAGTTCTCGGGGGAACAGGGACTCTCCCATTGCCTCCTGGTCTCTCTTGGCCAGTTTATAGATAGCCACCAGATCTCCTCTCAGCCTTCTCTTGTGGAGGTTGAACAGGTTCAGGTCCCATAGCCTCTCCTTGTAGGGCCTGCCGTGCTGCCCCCTGATCATGTGAGTGGCCCTCCTCTGAATCCTCTTGATGTTTTACAGTATGGACAAATAAATTGCAGTTATAAATAGAAAGGTGCTTACCACATGTCAGCTGCTTCACACTTTGTATTAAATGAAAGCTAAACTGGGGCAACCCTGTAGACTGGGAGGAGAGTAAGCCACTGTCAGATTCTAGAAGATCCTGTCCCTGTGCATCCATAACAAGTAAAGCACTTCATAAGGGTACCTTGTTTCCATAAGTACTATTTTGGAGCACTGCAGCTGTTTCTGGAATGCTTTAAAGAGTATGTATGTCTATCTGAAATGGTTCAAGTGTTAATACTTCCTATAGCCTAAGACTTGTCCCAAGATTAATCTTTGAAGAACTTCATCAGTAACCCCTCCCCTGGGCCATCACTCCCTCCTTCCCCCTTCCACAGTCAGTTACAATAATCCTGGAGAGTTTACAGATTGCTGACATATCTATGGCTATGCATTATATCTAGAATGATACAGAGGCTTTTGTTTGTATTCTTGCAGGAAGGAATAGCCACAAGGGAAGCATAGCACAACCAACCAAAAATGAATTGCCTGAGGGTCCCTGGCAGATTGCACAGCAAGAGAATGAGTCAGGAACCTGGATAACAACTACTCCATTGGGCTTTCAAGTGGCCACTAAGGGAGTAAAGAGATTGGATCTGAAACCATTATTAACCTATGAGGCAACTGACCCAGTTAATGAAACGGTAATGTTATTCTGATGTTATTCTGTGTCTAGTAATCTGGCTGATTCCCTAAATGTTAGAAGTAGTGTAGAATTTGTTCATTAGATAATTTCCTAAGATCTCTAATAATATATTGTTAAAAATGCCAAGGTTGTGAAAGAACCTTCAGGCTACTAATCTACATAAGACTGTGCTGCTTAAACTTTGGTAGTGTTAAAGCATCTTCTCTTTTTAATGTTTTACAGATGATGATGTTAAAGTGGTATTTTTTTGCCCTTCCAGGTTCTGGTAATACGAGAAGACAAGGTGATAATGGTTCAGAAAACTGATGGGACTATGATTGTGGATCATGCTGATGGTACTAGAATCACTACATTTTATCAAGATTTTGAGAAACATCTCATACCTGAGGATTATGAAGAAACAGGTAAAATCAAGAGGGGCATAATTCTCTCTCCTATAACTCGTAAAGCAGGAATATGTCAATACAAACAATAGATTTTTTTAATTAAAATTTTATATGTATAGCCTAGATAATAAATCTGATATTCAGCCTAGGATGTTTCTTTTTAGTGAATGTTCTTTTGTTGGTATGTATTGTGACATTATTTTATTGTGGCAAGAGAGGTATGGAGTGCAAGAGAGGTAGATTTTCCCCTTCTTCATCCATCTGGGTACTCACATGCCTCTCATTCCCTGGGGAGCACAGTTCCAACCATTACTTTAAAAAATAACGTTTTCTCTCTTTTTTTCTATGCCCTCCAGTAACTTTGCTGATTTTTCTTTACAAATGAATGAATCTGTGAGACCGACATTATGACTGTGATAAAATCTGGCCATGAAGAATGGAGTTTGCTTTTGGCTGTGAATGAAAAAGGCTAATAGCAGTTTTTATTTCCTCTGTTCAGCAGTACAATTTCATATTCTCTGTCCATTTGCATGGTGGAAAATATCACTTGTGTTCAGGATGGAGACTATACTTGCTGACTCACAATACTTTGGGAACACAGTGAAAGGTCATGTTTTCAAAGGGAAAGATTGTCACTCAGACAAGGCCAGATCCATGTAGAACTAAAGGACAGTGGCCTTCATAAATTTGGTGAGGAGGTGGTGCAGAGAACTTGCCAGGAGATAAAGGTAAATTGAGCTGCACTTCGTGAGGGAAGTTAAAGGCAAGTTGAGGTTCTTTTAATATGTTTGTACGTTGCTATGGGAAGAGTCTGGGCAGATCACAGCAGGGTATGTTTGGTCATACTAGTTGAGCTGACCAGTTTTACTTTTGCTGCTGGCTTTGGCCAAGGACCCACTGTTCAGGACCCTTCCCTCTACTGCAGCCAGGCTAGTAGATAATACTAGGAGGCCACCCAGGCTTGGTAGCGATGCAAAACAAACAAAAGAAGGTACACAAATAAGTTAGCACTTAGCTGTCTTCCAGTGGTTCTTCCAGGCTTTACCTCCTGATTGCCTCTTATCCTTTAGAGGCTTTGCAGAGCCTGCAGGCTTGTGCAACAAAGCAAATGATCAAGGAAACAAGCAAACAAACAAACAAACAAACAAACAAACAGAGAAGAGCCCTGCTCTGGGCTCTCCTGGTGGCTGCCTAACCCCTGGCAACTCCAGGCTCCAGGCAGCCTGCTCCCTGGCAAGGTGCAGCATCTTGAGGCTGCTTTCAGTGTCTTTTATCCTTCCCACTCTGGGTTCACATGGATAGCCCTCTCTTACCCCTACGCCTGCATCAGCTCCCTTGCTGTGGGACTCATGACGTCCCAGGACCTGGTTTCCCAGCCTCCAGTGAGATCTCCCCAGTCTGGGGTGGCTGTGCAGAGGTGCTTCTGGGGTGTGGGGCTATTCAGACCCCCCCAAACCCCTAGTAACAGTGCAAGGTCCTTTTACAATGTTGGCCAGAAAAGAAAGACCAAGATAGTTGTGAGTCCACCATTAAATAACCAAGGCAAAATCTTAACAGAAGATTTCAAAGAATCTCAACAGCTACTTTGCCTCAGTCTTCACAAAAAGAGTTAAACTGCAACCATAGAGATAATAAGGCTAAGGAAGGAGACAAGCTGAGAGATGAGCTAACAAAAGAAACAGTTAGAGAGCCTTTGATGTGTCTGAATGAATTTAAGCCAGTGAGTCCTGACAAACTTCATCACAAAGGAACTATCAAATAAAATGTTGGAGCTGGTAGCAATACAATTTACAAAGTCATGGGAGACAGACAAGGTACCAGAGGACTGGGAAAAGGTCAATATAGTGCCCCTCTTTTTAAAAAAAGGCAAAAAAAGAAAATCCAGGGAACTATAAATGATTTAGCTTCCCCTCAATACCTGGGAAGTTGCTGGAGTAAATCATAAGGAAGTCCATTTGCAAACATCTAGAGAAGGAAAGGCTGATCAAGAGCAGCCATTTTGGATTTACTATGACCAAATCCATGACATATCTGCTCTCCTTCAATAGGATACTAGTTGGATGGCTGGAGGAAATGCTGTGCCTATAGAATATTTGGACTTCAGCAGGGCTTTTGACATAATCCCACACTGCAGTCTCATAAACAAGTTGGAGAAATGTAGGCTAAAAAAAAACCTACTAGAAGGTGGATAGACAACTCAATAGCTGCAAGCAAAGGGAAATTATAAATGGAGCCATGTTGGAATGGCAGGGGGCTTGAAGTGGAATCCCACAGGGGTCTGTCCTGGATCAAACATTCAGCATGTTTATTAACTATATGGGTACTGGAATAAAGAACTTGAGCAAATTTCCAGATGTCACAAAACTGGAAAGGATTGCCAACACATTGGAGGATAAAAGAGCAACTCAGAAGGATCTTGACATATGGGAAAGCTGGGCTGGAGCTAACAGGATGAAGTTTAATGCTGAGAAATGCAAAGCACTACACCTCTGGAAGAAAAATCAAAAGCACAGATACAACATAGGTGACACCTGGTTGGATGGCAGCACTGAGGAGGAGGATCTGGGAGTCTTGGTGGATCACAGATTCGATATGGATCTGCAGTGTGATGTAGTTGTGCAAAAGGTGAAAGCATTTTTGGGTTGCATCATTCGAAGCATTAAGTGCAAGACATGGGAGACAATAGTGTCTCTACTCAGCATTACTAGACTTCATTTAGGGTGGTGTGTGGAGTTTTAAGCTTCACATTTTTAAAAGGACAGAGATGCTGAAGAGGTTCCAGAGGCAAGTAACAACAGGAAAAATAAAGAATTTGGAAGACAAGCCATACAAGGAGAAGGGACTAGGCACGTTCAGCTGTGGGAAAGGTACTTAAGATGGGACATGACACCAGTCTTTAAATACTTGAACCACTGCTGTAAAAAGGACAACACCTTTTCTCTCTTGCTGTACAGTGCAGGATATGGACTAGTGGTTTGCAGCAACCAGTGATTGCAACAATGTAGATTTAGATTAGATATCAAGAGAAACTTCTTCACTGATAGAACAGTGAGGTAATGGAATAGACTGCCTAGAAAAGTTGTGGCATCTCCATCATTGGAGGCATTCAAGGTTGGATAAGCATTATTCAGGGATGGTCTGTGTGTAACTATGCCAGTGGGACCCCAGGGTGCCACAGGAGCCCCTCAGGTATGTTGTGATGCTGCTATGGTAGCAGAACAGCAACAGCAAAATAAAATTGCCATGTGTGCACTCCTCCTGCATTAGGGCTCTGAAACTAAAACAGGCAGGAACTGCTTGATGCTGTAACCCTTCCCTCTCCAGACCTTCCCATGCTTCTCCCAGGAACAGAGACATCCAGGACAGTTCCACCCCTTTGTGCCTTTGTTTCTGGGAGGAGCGTGGGAGGAGCTGGACCAGAAAATGCTACATGGTGGATGCGTGTACATGAGATGCTTTACTGTGCAGTAGACTATTTTATTGCACAGTAAGCGTCACTGTCTACACATGCAGGCAGTTGCTGCACAGTAAATTAGTCTACTGTGTGGTTAGTTTGCTACCTGTAAATACAGATAGTAACCTAACTGTGCAGTAGGTACTGCACAGTAATGCATGTGTAGATGCTGACAGGGAGCAAACTTGCTCCTGGTCAGATTGTTGCCCTGTGGGGTCAGGCCAACTCTCAGGATCTCAATATTGCGCTGTTAGACAGGAGGGTGTGACACAATTGCACATATACAAATACACAAATCAAAAAGGGAGGAATAGGACCCCTGCTAAATGGGCAGAAACAATTGGTGACGGACAGGGGGGACAAGGCTGAACTCCTCAACAAGTTCTTTGCCTCAGTGTTCCTAAGTGAGGGGCACGACAAGTCTCTCACTGGGATTGTAGAGAGGCAGCAGCAAGGCGCCAGACTTCCATGCGTAGACCCTGAGATGGTGCAGAGTCACTTGGAAGAACTGGATGCCTTTAAGTCGGCAGGCCCGGATGAGCTCCATCCGAGGGTGCTGAAGGCACTGGCCGACATCATTGCAGAGCCACTAGCAGGAATATTTGAAAGCTCGTGGCGCACAGGCCAAGTCCCAGAGGACTGGAAAAGGGCCAACGTGGTCCCCATTTTCAAAAAGGGGAGGAAG